GCCAGGGCCACCACGAGGTAATGATAAAGCTCGGGCGTAAGGCCGCCGCCCGCCACCACGGGTTCGCGAAAATGCCGCGCTGAGGCGTCCGCGAACTGCCGCCAAATCTCCCCCGCCGCCTCCGCGGTGGCGGCCTCGGCCCCCGCGGAGAGCCGCCGCTGGAAGTCCCCCAGCAGCCCCACCACCGCCCCGACGTCCCGCGCGAAGGCCGCCGCCTCGAGCCGCCGGACCAGCGAGGGGTGGAGGATCGAATCGCGAAGACGCGGCGCGTCGAGGGTCGCCCGCGGCGCCTTTTGCCCGCCCTCGAGATGGGGGAAGACGTGGTGGTGGCTTTGGCTCGGCCAGCCCTCGTCCAGCCAGGCCTGCAGCGCCCCTTTTTCGCCCTCGACGGGCAGGCTGTCAATGAAGTCCACCAGCTCCCCCTCCCGCACGCGCGGGCGGAGGGCCCTGAAGCCCAGAAAGAGCCCGCGCAGCTCACCGATCTCCTCCGGGGTTTGGGGCTCGAAGTGGGCGAGCCGCCGCGCCCCGTCCTCGGGGCGCGCCATCGGGGTGCAGAAGTGGCGGCTGTAGTCCTCGAGGACGGCGGCGGCCATGTCCTCCGCGCTCTCATCGCTCGGGCTGAGCCGCGCGATCCGCAGGAGCCAGACCAGCGCCAGCAGCGACCCCGCCCCGGGCTTCCGGGCCTCGGCCCAGTGCTGGTGCCACTCAAAGGCCGAGCTGAGGTCCTTCCCCAGCGCGCAGAGCCGCATGAACTCGAAAAAGCACGCCTTGCCGGGCTTGTGGTGGTAATTCAGCAGGTGGAAGGTCTCCTGGGCATAGCGGTAGGCCGCCCGCTTGCCGGGCGCGGTCCGGCGGAGGTGGACCACCGTCGCGCACCACGCCATCAGCCGCGCGCAGTGGTGGTCCTGCAGGAGGTTGTGGTGGTTGTGAAGGCCATAGGCGAGATACCACGGCCGCGGCTCGAACGCGAGGGCTTTGCGAAGCCCCTCAAGGCCTTTGGTGGGGACCCAGCGAGAGAAATGCGGGGAGTAATCGCGCCGCGCTTTAATGCCGCCCCACATTGGTGGTGGAAATATAAGGCAGCCTAATCGGACTCACACACTTTCGGGTGTGTTCGTTTAAATAATCTACCCCCTGAGCCAGTGCGTTGAAAAAAGATGGGAACATAAAGTGTGTTTCCTTACTATATTGTAGAAACCCAATGATGCAGAAGTACCTTTGACAAAGTAGTGAATCAATATATTGGGAAGAGCAATAAAATGAAATTTTACGGTGTTCATATGCGCCTTGCTCATATTGATTCCCTGAAATCTGCCATGAAGCACAGGTAGAGGTCAAGACCAAAAGTTACTTAAAATATAAGAATGTAGAATAAAATACTCATTTAAGAAACACATCGGGTTTAAGAATTAAGTTTGTGAGCAAATAACACTTTCACAATAATCCGTTTTTATTCCTGCTTTTTCCTGTCAAAGCATCCTGACGGTAGATTCAAATTTGTGGAAAGGGATGTTCATAGAGATACACCTCCTTTTTCGGAGTTGTAAACCACTTTATTAATGGATACATCATAGTTGATCTATGTAATCATCTAAATTACCAAAAATGCCGAGGAACTTGATATTTACATTCTGAATAATAAAGACTCTTAGATGAAAGTAATACGTAGCGTGTTATCCGGTGTTACTTATTCTTCTAAGATTCATTCAAATACAGGAAAACAGCTGCACACTTATTAGATATATATATATATATGACTATTGATATAATAAATATTTTAGTCGAATCTTACTTAGTCTTCTTTTCTATTGATCCCTTCTTTTTTTTTTTATATATATTATCATCTCAGATTTTCCTAATTAACAGTCAGTAATTTGTCTAAAAACTCATACAAATAAGAAACTACTGAGAACAACCTATTCCTTAGAATGAGCATTACCTATTATTTCACAACTGTACTTCGTTTTCAAGATCCTGGTCATTTGATGGGAGTGAATGGGCCAGCAAGCGTCATAACAGTAAAGACTGAATGAATTAAAAACGAAGCAACAAAGGAGAACGTCTAAGCGTTTTCCACCTTAACGTTAACGCTTTTTTATTATAGAATGTGTCCAGTAAACACACAGAAAGCAGCCTATAACCCTGAAATGTATACCAAGACTCATCGTATATAGATAATTACATGGGGCCTTGCATCCTCTTATGTAGTCATTCATTGTCTTTGCTTTCTTAGTAACGTCAAACCTAAAACTCCAACAAGGCCAGTCATTCCCAAAGCAACCAAGGCCAGCTTAACAATGGATTTTTTTGGGGTTTCATTTGGTGTGGGAACCAATTTGGCAGCCATTAGTTCCTCTACACATGCCCCAATGGTCTTTTCTATGTCGGTAAATTGCATTCCAAGCTCTTCAATCGCACGACGATTATCCAGGGGCTTACGCTCCCCCAGATTTCTCCACAAAAAACGTAAGTTCACACTTTGGGGTGCATAAATCAACAACGTCAGTAACTTATTTGCTGAGCGCGTAGGTGGGTTCAGGTGGGGGTACTGCTTTTTGATAATTCTGCTAACCTCCGCCAGGCTTAGACAGGCATTCGAAATGATGATTCGCTGATCTTTTGCCTCTGGTGACTCCATCGCGCGCACATGCGCCTCAGCCACATCACAAACGTCGACGTAGTTCCAATACAGTTTAGGACAAAATGGAAAATATGAGGGAGCGTTGGCCAATCCTTGAATCATCATCATCGCATCACTGGTCTCCTCAGTTCGACTCGGGCCGATTGTGCTCGAAGGCAGCAATACTACTAACTCCACTCCTAACATCTGACGTAGCCTCCACGCTTCCTTTTCAAAGACGATCTTGGCGTATGGGATGGGGTCCGTCTCTGAATTAGCTATCGTGTTCCAGCACCTTTCATCTAATTTCCCAGAAGACGGCAGGGGATCGCGGATGTGAAAAACAGAGGTGGCGGCACCGGTGAGAACAACGCGCTTTACCGAGGCCTTACCAGCAAGACGAATACCGTCAAACAGAGCTTGGATAGCCTCCATATGAGTGGTTACCGGTCCTTTATTCTTATCCACCGCTGCGTTGGAGCACCCGCAGTGAATAATATACCGGCAGCCTCTGATTACGTCCCGCAACGCGATCGAATTATTGATATTAACATTTGCTATAGAAAGACGAGATAGCACATCGACGCTCATCACTTTGTAAAATTCGGCTTGCTGCTGCTGGGTAACGGGGTTTGAGGTCGCCAAGCGAACGCTGTAATCTGCCTTCAGAAGCTTCGCTACGACATGGGACCCAAGGTACCCGTTTTCAGATATTACCAAGACGTTGGTTCTTGTTTTGACACTCTTCACACGCTCTTTTGCCGTCTCGGTGCTAAGTTGGTTGAGAATGGTGCTCACCGGTAGTTGCTGACGAGATAGTTGACCATTTACGGTTCGTAGTGGTCCACCTTGCTCCTCGTCAGAGTAGGTATCGCCCCCAAACGCATTTAGATCCAACGCACTGCCAGAAAATACCTTTTGGAGGGTATGAGCTTCGGGTTGAGGCCGAAGCGGTTCTCCGTCATTAGTGAAATAGTCTGCTCCGGGGCCCAGAATGTGAGGTCGTTCAACTAAATTATGTCTTACCACAGTTTCCATATCCTCCAGGGTTAGACAACTACCAGAAAAAACGCGAAACATTTTTCTTTAATATCTCTATGTAATGAGTCCTTAGCCTTGATAAATTGTTATCTCTACTCAACAGTAAAAAAAAACAGCTAAGCAGTTAATGTAGAGAAAACTTAGTTATCCTTACTTTTTTAAAACTTTATTAAACGCGCTTAACCTAAAGAATAACAACGCTTATACTTAAAGAGAGTTGAGAAGGAACAATATCCGCACGATTTGTATCTTCTATTCCAATGTGTATATGTGCTTTAATTTTTTTACTCTGAGTTATGTCGAAACAAAAAACTAATATACAGCGTCAAACCGTAAGCCGTTTACTTGAGTCAAATGTAGTAACCTTAGTATGCTCAAAAAAAAAAACTTGGGTAGGTTTATCTATCTAATAATGTAGATAGATAGATGTACTTGAAAGAATAAATAGGAACTATGAAAAAAAAAGTTTAGAAGTAATAAGAAGCTAATAACACAAACTAGTATGTTAACCCAAAAGCCAAGGTTAAAGCACATCCACGAAATAGAAATATAAGTGAGCAGATATGCTACTTAAAATGTAACGGTCTACGGTGTGCATTATTTCAACTGAAAATAATGCAAATCGCACCATTAAGGATACAATGTATTTATAGATCTACCAATAGAGCAGGCAGCGTCCAGTTTGGCTACTCCCAGCCTCATTGTATTCTATTAATTTCAGCAACGCAAATTCCCTAGAACGAATAATTCATAGAATCGTCTTTCAATAGGGATTAAATGAATATCAGTAGGATTGTAGACCCCCCCTCCCTCTCGGTTCATCAGGTATGGCGAAAGAAGACTTCTTGCGATTCGTCCGCGTTTGGGAGGGCCCGCGGGCGCAGGGCATGGGTGGGCCCTGGGCGCCCCCTCTTTCCGGCTCCGCGGCGGACGCCCCCGCGTGCGCGCGAGGATCCCCTCCCCGACGAGGCCCGTCGCGTCTCGGCCTCGGCGCCGAGGACGAGCGGG